GCTTAACTGCATCATTCGCGAAAGAATATCATGTGAAGCTCACTCAGGTTTGGAATTCAAAATGTTCGTCCCCATTGGAGTTGCTCTCTCTCTGCTTGGGGGTATCTGGAGGATCCTCTTGAGCATCGTCTGGGTGTTTCTTCTCTTCTCCCACCAGAACCAAATCCAACTCGACCAGAGATAATATTTTCAGGGACTCTAGGAGGTCTGAAACTTCTGTAAATACAAAGAAATCAATCATGGTAGCTACTAATCACGCCTTCATCGTCATCAACGTTGCCATCACTACATATGTGCCACATTTTTCCAGACTGCAACAGACCGCACTCACTAAAGTCTTTAACATTGGAGAGAATTCATTGGTTCGGCTTCCCGAGGCTCTCCAGGAGATTCTTCATATCGATGACTGATGTTGACAAGGGAATCTCCGAGCAGCTGGCAATCACACAATGCATGTGAGGGGGGGGGGGGTCCTGCATCAAGAGAAAAACTTGCAGTAATGTAGTACTCATGTAGTACCATAAACATCGGATCGCATTGTTTCAACGGAGAAAGGAAAATTTCATTCTTTTCGCACCAAAATGATATGCCCACCTTTACTTTCGGCCTTTCTTAGCACGGCTGGCTGTGTTTTCAAATTATGCTGATGAAGTGCCTGCTCAATCCTTGCCGCCTCGCAAAGGCTGTCTGTCACATAGGCTATGGGAATTTTTTTCTCTCCCCTGCAACGGCCTTGGTGGTTGCGAAGCCCCAGCAGGCATCGATCGACATCGACGACCTTTAAGAAACAATTCTCAGTCGTCAGCACTTACATGAAGTCGTAATTATTGAATGGGGCTATCTTTTCTCACCTCATTGGAGAACACTGCCGTGCAGAAAGGTTGATTGAAAGATCCTTCTGTCACTTCCATCGCGTTTCCGGGAATGATCCTAAGCTCGATGTTTCCTGTTGTTTGGGTTTTTTGAGTTCCATGGCCCCCCAAGCAAATCTGCACGTAATTTCTCCACTCTCCGCTCTTTTCGGCATTCTTCAACTTCATGTATGGCTTGAGAGCATCCTCAGTGATACACTCGGAGAATTCACGCACAATAACTTCCTCATCCTCCTGGGCAATGCTGCAAGAGAATTTAATTGATTGA